TGGAGGATGAGACTTAAACACCAACATACGTTGGCGTTTTACCTTCAAGAAGTGGCAGCTCTCAACAGCATCCTGGAGGCAGGCCCGGATGCCCGACACACGGTGTTCTCAGCAGCAACTTTCTTTTCTTTTCTGGTTTCTTCAACTTTGTGACGCAGCCTTCTCGCCGCCGAGCTTAGCACCAAGCAGACTGCGCACGCGCCGTTCGCTTCCCTCCCGGCTGGTTCTACACAGAGGCGGAAATGGGATTTACCTTTCAGCTTTCGACGGCTTCTCGTTGTTTCTGCTCAGCAGCTGTTTACCAACGGAGCTTTGCTGGAAGCGGCATCCCTCTTCACTCGCCGAAGCTGTGCAACTTGAGCCTGCGCGAGAAAAACTTGCGAGTGCCCTGCAAGCGGGAATGGAGCCTCTTCAAACATGTTCTTAGCATGTTTTAACGGCGGAATGTCCGAAGCTTTTTCGCCCGCCCCCCCGCCCGGCTAAAGCCGATGCAGGAAATGGGATTTACCTTTCAGCTTTCGACGGCTTCTCGTTGTTTCTGCTCAGCAGCTGTTTACCAACGGAGCTTTGCTGGAAGCGGCATCCCTCTTCACTCGCCGAAGCTGTGCAACTTGAGCCTGCGCGAGAAAAACTTGCGAGTGCCCTGCAAGCGGGAATGGAGCCTCTTCAAACATGTTTCAGAGATAGGGCTTGCGAGAGACCGCTTGCAGGCATCCAGATACGGCCGTCAGTGGCACGATCCAGATCAGCTCTCCGCCCAGCACGCTTGGGGATGCTTTGGGAAGCCCTTGGCTACAGGTTGGGATCCCAAAATGTGCGCTTCGGCAGCTCATGTAATTCTAACCCCGAAGCTTTCAGTGCCCGCAAAGGCTGGGATCCACTTCTGACTTCGGACCGACGCAGAAGCTGGTGGCGACAGTGCGGATAATGTTGTCTACGAGGCCAAGGTGGCCTCAAGTCTGTGTGCGTTTGCAAGGACGGGCAGTACATGATCGACAGCGCAATTTCAGTCTGGAGCCTCCGAAAGAACATGCGCTGAAGAATAGGAGCCGAAGACTTGTTTTAGGCATAAAATTGTTTGGGGGCTCTGGGAGAAAGGCTCTGCTGCGCAGGTCTAGGAGCTTCAGGAGCTTCCACGGGAAGCATGACAAGGCAGACGACCGTTTCGGACACGCGCGCCAACTTCACACTGGCCGTGCCCCAAGCTGACCGTCATAGGTCTCTGCCCTATCTTGCCTGCGTAGTTGTCCGTGTGTGCCTTGAGTCCCATTTCACTACAGGAATGAGATATCTAAATCCATTGCGCATGGGCTGGGGGCATCTCGGATCAGGCTGTGAGCGCGGGCACGACTTACTACTTTGAAGTTCGAGCCGTGGTCCTGCCATGTTCTGGGAGCTGCGTTGTGTCATGAAGAGCAATCATGGGCTCATCGATTGGTGTAGGGTGCCAGGTGAACGTGCGTTGTGCTGGTCAACCCCGAGGAGGGCTAATGAAGGGCTAGCTGTTCAAAGCTGACATGGAACAGATGCTTAGTCCGTGTGTTGGCTCTTCAAAGTCAAATGCTGTGAAGGTTCCGCGCACCAGCACCGCGGCCCAGCAGGCCTCCCGTCAGCACGCGGTGAATCACGGCCGCATTTAGCTGGTGCAGCTACGCAGAGGTCGACATGTCCTGGACACCAAGCGCTTTCAACGGCAGCGCAACGTCGGAGTCCTGCTGGACTGCAAGTCGGGCAATGCAACCTCACAAACACTTGGAACAGGTCAGCAGCAAGATGCAGGCAGGCCTTGTGGCATGTCTTAACAGTTCTGAAGCGTACAGTGCAGGCATTCTCAGAACTACGGCGTCACGGCAGCCAAATCTCGTCCTGCCACCAAAGCAAGTGGCAGACGTACAGGATGTTCCTGCGAACGCCTCCAAGGAAAACGTACTTCGAAGACCGCTTTTTCTAGACATGCCATGATACCAGGGACTGCACGTGCATGAGATTATTGAGATCTTACAGATAACCGCTTTGCCTTGCCCCATCATTTCAAACAGTATCATGCACCGGTGCAATCGCTCTGGGTTTCAGCACGGACGGTCGCCTCTTCGCAAGCATCCGCCAGATGCATGCGCATGTGATCATTTTGCCTGTGGGTTCATTCTATGTAATGCGGGAGCAATTTCGGCAAAGGTGACACTTGGACCGGCAAACAAAGCTGCCGGTGAAGCAATGTCCAGCATTCAGTGAAATCAGCAGCAGAGTTCAGACATAATCTTTGGTATGCGTCGGAACCTCAACCGAACTCAAAGCAAAAGGTTTGGTAGCTTGCAAGTCGCATGCACAAGCTCACGAGATTGCGCTGCCAAGGCGCAGCAGATCGCAGCTGCATCGTGAGATTTGCTTGCAGCACTTGTGTTGGCGATTGCCACGTGGCGTGTCTCCGCAACTTGGGTCGCAATTTTTTGTCTCCTGCTGCCTCCCGAGCGGCTTGTGCGTGTTGCTGGCTAAGCTTGTGGAGAGTACATGGAGGTTTGCAGTCATGTTTGCGAACTGCATCCAAGAGTTGATGAGGTTTGTGCCGCGGGTTTGACATGAGCTTGGGCTCAAACTGGAGTTTGTATTGAGTTTGCATTGCAAGCTTTACTTTCAGAGCGGCCTGAGCAACCCGCAGAAAGTTGCATACACAGGGACATCAGATTCAACATCAAACTGGGCTTTGCTTGCGGGAAGCCTTGCCAAAAGACACCCTCGGGACCTCTTCCGGATGCTCGTCTGGCCGCCCTTCCGAGGCTGTGTGGGGTCGGCCATGCATCTTTGAAAGCCTTTCATGGCTATTCGGAAAACTGGAAACTCACCACCCAACGCCATCACGAAACTGCTGGTATCCTGTTCGAGATACAGCTGAAAGCAGAGAGTTGCAGCCAGAAGGAAAATTGATCGCCGCGCCGCGCATGCCACTTGCCGACCTCTCTTCTTGAAGCCACAAGCCTTGAGTTCCAAAAATCAACTTGCTGGACCTTCGATTTTGTATCGTTTCAGGTCTGCGATTTCGTTGGGATGCTAAGGCGGAGGATCGGCGGCTTTGGAGCTAGTGGACGGCTGCCAGGGGTTTGGTTCTTGCCAGAGGTTGTCGAGAGCTGGGCTCCGTGGGCCGACCCGGGCCTGCGCTGGTTGGCGTGCGGCTCTGGGTCCCGGACGGGCTACAAGCCAGGGTTTTCCCTGAAGTGTGCTACTTGGTTGGTCGAATGGCTCCGGAAGCCGAGACTGGGAGGGCCGAAGCTAGGAAAACTAAAAAAACGCGGGTTCGTTTCGCTACATCCAGGCGGCTTGCCGACCGCCTGGAGAGTGGAGGAAGGCTACAGACTACTGGAAAGCTCGGCACCACTTTTTTTCACCGACGCTAAGGCGGCGGATCGGCGGCTTCCTGGAGCTAGTGGACGTCTGCCAAGGTCCTTGGTTCTCGCTAGAGGTTGTCGAGAGCTGGGCTCCGTGAGCCTTCGCTAAAGGCGACCCGGGCAAGGTCATCGCCGCCCTAGAACTCCTGGCTACGCTGGTTGGCGTGCGGCTTTGGGTCCCGGACGGTGACGCTAAGAAAACATCCCGCATGGCAATCCGAGGCTACACCGACAACCAGTCGAACGAGGCCCTGCTAAGGAAAGCTGTGACCACCAAGTTCCCGTCCACGCTAATCCTCATGGAGCTAGCAGAGGAGCTATCTGCAAAGAACTGTCAGCTCCAGCTACCGTGGATCCGACGGGACCTGAGCCAGCTAGCAGACGACCTCGCGAACGAGAACTTTGCTAGCTTCGACCCGAACTCCCGTCGGCTTCGCTAGGAGATTGGCTAGCCTTGGACGCGGTTCGAGGCTAGAGACTTTCTCCGGGCAACAGGGAACCTGTGCCACGCCGCTAAAAAGAGTGAGGGTCTGTGTGACCGGTGGTCTTGAGCTAAAGCCTTTGCTTAGCTGCCACGAACCCTAGGCGGTGTTTTGGGGTGGTGGCGGGTTTGGAAGTGCTAGCTATTGTACACATTCGTGCCGAGGCACGGAGGTGTTTCGGCTAGATAAACATCGAAGGTGTTTGCTAGGAGCCATCGCAGATGTTTCTGTTCGAAGCATTCGAGCTATTGGGGTTCACATGGCCGAGAACGAACATGCTATGTCCGTGGCCATTTTGCTAAAGAGCCCTTGGAGGGGGGGCAAATTTGAAGTGCCCACCCATCCCACCCTGGAGATTGGCTAGCCTTGGACGCATTCCAGGCTAGAGACTTTCTCCGGGCAACAGGGAACCTTTGCCACACCGCTAAAAAGAGTGAGGGTCTGTGTGACCGGTGGTCTTGAGCTAAAGCCTTTGCTCAGCTGCTACGAACCCCAGGCGGTGTTTTGGGGTGGTGGCGGGTTTGGAAGTGCTCGCTAGTGTACGGAACTGTGTGTTTTCAAGGACAAGAGGATTGTCGAAGCCAGTTCAGTCTGGAACGACTTTCACTATCTTCGAAGGCCGGGTATTAAACATTACTGCCTAGTAGGAACACACAGTTTACTGTATAGGAAAATATTTGCAGTGAGCCAGGAAGCGACTTTGACGCTCAGGCTCAAGGACCCGAATATCCAGTGCGGTGACAGGAAAAGTGAGCCGCCTGCGTGTGAGTAGGAAGCCCTTAGGAAAGCCCGTTCTTTAACACCTGTTCCGTTACGTGTTTTCGGCGTTGCGGGGGTGGGCAAGACTTCGCTTTGGCGGGAGAGTCGAAACTGACGGTACGAGATTGTTGAGTGCTCCCCTCACCTGCTTGATTAAAGCTGTCAAAAACGGCCGCGAATCGCCAAGTGGTTTGGATGCAAACAGGTGGCGAGGTAGCTTTGCGAATAGATTGGGATGGGCGCTGCGGGTAAAAAAGCCGTATTGAAAACCCGTATTGATTATTTGTCAGAAATGGGGGAAAGCCGACATGATTACAGCTGCTACATTCAGCCCGCAGGCATGAAAGTTGCGTTTGGCTTCGACCAAGATGCGCACACAGCCTTTCCAACCGCTTCTGTGCGCAAGCTTGATGTCCAAGCAGTTTTTGCTTCAAACGAACTGCAGGCCTGCGGTGTAATGCTGGCTACTGCTGGGGCCTGAGGGACACCGCAGAACTCACAAGATCTTACAAGTGGGAAACTCGAGTGACCGAGAAGGTTGAACAAAAAACAGAGGGCCATGTCAAGTCAGAAACAGGCAGTAGTCAGCGGCCACAGATGTGCAAAAGAAATCCTTCGAGCATTTTGGAATTTGGAATCTGTAGAAAACCAGTCCACTTTAGGGCAAGGTGCTGTCAGCTATTTCTATGATGCATCTGTGAAGTAGGCACACCTCGCAGCGCAAGTCCTTGAGTGCGCCCCCACACGTCACAGATAACACCAGCCAAGTGCAACAGTAGTAGCACCACTAGCAACAGTAGCTTCTGGCAATGTTTCGCTAGAATATTGCTATGACTCATAATTAGACTGGCAAGCACGGGAATTTGGTACGGGTCATCCTCCTGGTCAGCACGGACATTATGGTAGCTGCACTGGACACGTGACGAGTGCAACACCAGTCTTGTCCACAGCAAGACCGATATGCTTGTACATTTGATCACATCTGACACATCGGTGCGGGCGCTTGGTCGGACTAGGCCTCGATGGGACGCGGAGCAAACCGAGAGGGGTACTGACGGACCAGCCCTCCTTGCACTTCGGCTGCAGCTTTGGAGGATGCTGCAAAGGCAACATGTAGTCCTGGGTCTCCACAAGTATGCATATTGTCATGTGTCAAAGAGGGCGTCGGTGGACTATGACGAGGTGTGCACGATCTTCCAGCCAGTTTAGTAATGCTGTGCCCCAAATCCATGTAGGGCCAAACGCAGGGCAGTGGTGGAGGTGGGGAGACAGTTCGATTTGGTGCATGTTTGCAGAGTTCGCAGAAGGCAGCTGATGCTCATGATGCTTGCTGGTGGTCGGGTATCTTGTTGAATTGGTGACGACGCTTGGGCAGCTGATGGAAAACTTCCGCGGGCGGACGAATCTTTTAACTGGATAGGCGTAAGGCGGGGGGCACCACAACCCGTTGCCGGAAATTCAACCCCTTCAATTCGGGAGGGAAGGGTGGGGTGGGCAGGGCGGGAAGGGCGGGAGGGGTCAATCTGTGGGGACCCTAAAAAACCCTTTTCTAATAAATGTGCTTATTGGGAGTCTGTAGAAGACAGCCTGGAGGAAGGGTTTCGGGTTCACGCCTTTGGGAGATCTGCTGGTGACCACTGGGACCCTCTAAAACATTCTTTAAATGTGCCTATAGGGAGCCTTTAAAACCCAAGCCGGAGGGACGTTTCGAGGAGGAAGTGAAGCTGGTGTGGATGTTGGAGACGCAAAACCCAAAAACAACTACCTACGCAGCGCCGCCCCGGAGGGGTCGGCAGATTAAGAAGACAGGGGAAACTACTTGGGAAACATAAGCAATACCATGCGATAACATGGAATCGTGGCATTAGCACGGCATTGAAGCGTTCTGCGTTTGTGCACATGCATTGCATACTGAAAAAGCCACACAGTGTTCTGCCGCGCCGGAGTTCTGGGCAGGACCAGAGCCCAGAGGCCCCAAGATGCCCCGCACAGCACAGACTGTGCCAGCTGCTTCTTTGAAGGCACCGAGTCCTGCTGCCAGGTGCAGCAACTGTGGAGACATGCAGTAGCAACCATAGTGCTCAATCCCGGTTTTTTCCGCAGTGCTGCGACTGCAAAGCTACACTAAGGTGTTGGCCCCGAAGCAGCAGCATCCTTGCGCCCACCGCTCTTGAGGAGCTTGTTGCAACCTCGACTTGAGGTCGATCGTCAGCTCTCTTCGGGTCTATGGGTGTCTCTTTGCCTGCCCTCGCTTTTCCGCTCTTTCGCTCTCTGTCTACGTGTCTGCCTCTGCCTCCGTTTCTGTTTCTGTTTTCTTCTCTCTCTCTCTCTCGCCCTCTTTCTCTCTCGCGCTCTCTCTCTCTCTCCCTTTCTCCTTCTCTCCCTTTCCCTCTCGCCCTGTTCCTCGCTCTCCCTCTCCCTCGCCCTCTCCCTCGGTCTCTCTGTGTCTCTGTCTCTCTGTCTGTCCGTCCCGTCCGTCTGTCCGTCTGTCCGTTTGTCCGTCTGTCCGTCTGTCCGTCTGTCCGTCTGTCTCTCTGTCTCTCTGTCTCTCTGTCTCTCTGTCTCTCTCTTTTTCGTGCTTTTTAGTTGTCTCCACGGCTGGCGACCCTTCTTCTGGCTGCGCTTTCGAGGAGCACTTTGCTCGTGCGGCGCGCCCCGAAGGTGAAATGCTCAGCGCTGAGGGTGACAAGGCAAAGGGAAGCGATGTGTCGGGGCTGCGTCATGCACATCCGTGTCTCGGTCCGTCTAGTTCTCTTGGGTGCCTCGGAGCTGTTGTAGGCCCAATGTCGCTCTCCCTTTTGTTCTTCCTGAACCTCCTGGCGCGGGCCTCCGCCTGGGCCCGCGTGGCCGCGACCTTCGAGGCCGTGGCAGGGCGCAACGCCTCGCTGGCGGAACACCTCAAAGGCCTCCAGCCGCGGCCACCGCGACCGCGGCCGTCGTGGCCCGCTTTCAAGGGTGGCCTGCAGCTGCTCGGCGCCTGCTGCGGCGAGCAGAGACCGAAGGCCCTGGAGGTGGAGACCTCCATCAACAGCAACACGCTCTACGGCTCCACTAAGGAGGTAGCCGAGGTCTTGTTCAACGCCTCGGCTTGCGTACCGGTTCCTGAGACCGACAGGGGCCAGCAGGCCAAAGCAGGCTGCGCCTACGTCGCCATCTTTGCGAACACGGAGTTCGCCGACAATGAGTTCGCTGCGAACTGCGTTCCTGCACAGGTTTGCAAGGACGACGTTTTGGGCAAGACGAAGGGGCTGATTGCAACCTACGGAGTGCTCCTGCAGACCATGCAAGAAAACCTCGGATCTCTGGTTTATTTGTCCGAGGGCCCCATCAGCAAATGCTACGAGGGACGAGATAAGATCAACCTCGGGAAGCTGCAATCGCTGCTCCAGGAGAAGGAGATTCGCCTGGAGGACGAGGTTGGTTCAGTGCTTGGCAGCGAGATGGTCATGGAGATCCCCGGCATGGAGAGCCTGGGTTCCCAGGACAGCCTCCTTCCTTGCAAGGACGACCCGTCCATCGGCTACCTTTACGTGCACCGGAACAGGTACTGGTCCAGCGAGAAGCAGGCCGTGGACCTGGCGGCTTTTGAAAGCCGTCGGAGCCAGAGCCTTCAGAAGATCCAGCAGCAAGAGCGGCTGAGGACCAAGGCCCTCGAAGTCTCAGAGAAGGAGCCGACGAAGGCCGCGGCCAAAGCGGAGCTTCAAGCGCAGCTCCAGCGCATCGACGCCGTGGCACCCGAGGCCCTCGGCTCCGCGCCGCAAACTGCGGAGAAGACCGAGGCTGCGGCTCCCAAGCTTGGGGACAAGGCAGCCGGAAAGAGTCTTCCAAACGAGGGGACTTGAGAAATCTACTTTGCCTTTGCTCTGCATAGCCCGTTCCGGTCCGGAGACTTAAAGCCCCCAAATCTTTGAGATCCCTATGCGTTGGAGGCTCTGAAGCTGGAGGCTGCCGTGGCGCCGAAGCACGTTCAGCTCGGGGCCGGGGCGGCAACGCTGGCAAGCCCTCCCGGTAGCAGCGCTGCGAGTAGTCCCCATCACCCGGTGGTGCTGGGGCAGAGGTACCACTCAAGCTGGAATCTACCCTCCATCAGCCCCGTCCACTGCACCCTGCTCGTGAAACTTAGAACAGCTTTAGCAAGCGGTTTCAGCTTCGGTTCGTAGAGGTTTCGAGAGTGCCTTCTGGCTGAGGCAGCTGCGGCAAGCGATGCGCCAAAGGCCGCATCTTGGGCCTCTGGAACTACTGGTGCTTCCGCTACGAGTGCAACAAATGCCCACCGTTACTGCACCCGCTGACCTGAGGCCACTGAGTCACGGCTCCGCCGAGGTTTGTAGAGACTTTTGTGTCTAGGAGACCCGGAGGCTGCAAGACGCGGCCATCCAAAGTGAGGCAACTCATAGACCCAAGTGGCTCTGTGTGTGTGTGTGTGTGTGCGCGAAAGACAGGGCAAGCCAAACGACTCTGAGATCCCCGCACCTGTAGAGGCAGGAAGCAGCCCCTCCGTTGGGAGCTGCCACGTGATGTCACCTCGGGCAAAGTCCCTTGAGCCTCAGGGGGTGACTGAAGGTGGAAACCTGGAAACTTTGGCGTCGTTTTTTTTGGAATTTCGGGCACAGGATTGAGGGGTTCAACATGTTCGCGGTTCAAGTTCGCGGGTTGAGAGTTGTAGGGTCTTGGGAGGTTCAGGGCTGAGGTTTTTCACCCGCCCCCAATTTTCACGAGTGGCCAATGCTAACCAAGGCTGCCGGAGATGTCCCACCCTTTAGCTTATGGAATTTTGGATGCAGGGTTGAAGCATCCGCACAACAAGTGATGATAGGTAGTTCTTTCTCGGCGGGATTTGTTGGGCGAATCACTATGCTCCAAACCCCAAACGCCAGCCCTTAACCGTGTCGTAACCCTGAACCCTGCTTACACCCTACTCTCCAATGTAGGTGCAGTAAGTAGTTGTTGTTGCTTACATTGCATGGTCTGTGCCAATCGTCAGATCATACGAGAGCAGATCCCATTTTCGTATAGCGTTCTCGGGTACCCCTGCCTCCACCCTGCACTTGGAACGGCAAACCCCCACACTTCTGTGGTTCGAATGCTCTCTGCTCCAGGCCGCGGCCGTGCAAGGCGAGGTTTTCATGTCTGTGGGCATCAGGGATGGCTGTCCTCCGGGATGTTGGGCTGGTGTGGCATTTTTGTTTAACCTGGTGTCCTCATCGACCGTGTTGGATCTCGCGCGGCATTCAGAAATCGGGTGGTGCCCCATACCAGGGCACTTGCAATACATCATCTGCATTTCTAGGGTGAGTGCAGGTGAGGCTTGGAAGCGCTAAGCTCTCGAAAAGAGCTGAAAGTCGGAATTGTCCTGGGCCTAAAAGCTCGGGGTTCCTTTCAATATTTTCCTGGGCCCAAGACCGCAGGTCCCTCCCTGGCTTCCGGTGCTCCCCTCTCCGCCTTTACGGCCAAGGCAGGGCTTCCGGCTGAGGAAGTACTCCTAGGTAGGGACGGGAAGTAAGGAGGGTTTCGGGGAAGGGGAAGGATTGCTGCTTTTTTTTTTTGAGCTGAAGCTTCCGCCGCGCTGCAGCTCCAGCAGAGCCCCAGTATCCGTACCGCTGTGTTCATACCCGCTCGAGCCATGCTCGCTCCAGTTCGAAAGCTGCTCGCCTTGTGCGCCGTGTTCTGCGCCTGCGGAGCCAGGGCTGAAGAATCCGAAGAAGAATGCCCATCTCAGTCTCTGCTTCAGCTTGAAAGCAAAGTGTATTCGCGAGACTGCTCTGCACTGGTGGGGGACGACTGTAGCTTCAGAACGGAAGCCGGAGCCCAGTTCAACTGCACGGTGGAGCACGCCTCCCGTCTCATGTATGCAACCTGGGTGCGACCCGGAGCTTCCGTCCTCCACGTTGGGGCGCGCTACGGCCAGACCTCGTGCCTGCTTTCGAAAGTGCTTTCAGAGAACTCCAGGCTTTTCTCTGTGGAGGC